GTCTCGAACCCCCCCCCCCAAAAAAAAAGATGGTTTCTAATTTTAAAAGGAAATTGAGAAAATTGACTAATAAATTTATAATTGTCCTTAGTCATTTCTTGGTACTTTTTAACATATTGAAGTAGTTCTTTAATTATATATATACTTTCTTTGGTGCATATATAATGCTGGTCAGGTTCTTGCTATGTAGACCTGAAACTTGTGGCAATTATCTTGCCTCAGTTTCCAGAGTGCTGGGATTATAATAAAATCATTTTTATATGTATTTGTATTGAATATGTAGGAGTGCATGCACACATGTGGAGGTCAGACAGTGTGAGTCCTAGGGATTAAACTCAGCACCTTTACTCTAGAGCCATCTTGCCGGCCCTATGGTTTTTTCTTTAAAACCTTCTCATATAATTTGGTTCTGGTGGGAAGGATCAGAAGCCAGACCCCATGATGGTTTCCAGAAGCTGCCGGCAATGATCATTTTTATTTCAAACTCTAAACTGGTGACATGCTTGGGTGGGTTCATTCATAAATAAAAAAATAATAATAATGTTCACTACTGTGAACATCAACTTATTTAAATCGCAGTCTCTTCAGTTTGCATTTACTAGGAGACTATATCAAAAGTAGCCATTATGGAGATATGGTAAGGCGGATGTATCCACCAAAGGCAGTCAGAGGGAGCAGTGGATGCTGATGGCATTTTAGAGGAACATTCCATCTCTAAAGGGAAGAGTTGCAGAAGTAAACTCCCTATTTGGAGAGAAGGTATCCCTAGTGTTTGATGCTGTGACATCCTGGGTAAGGATAACTGTACTCTCTGAGAGTGAGGCTTCTGTAGACTGCCACTTCCTGATACCCTCTCTTTTCAGAGCTTGCTAGTAGATGAGAATGTTCCATTAGCCTCTGTGCTACATCTAGTTAAGGCCAATGTTTTCCCCCATGAATCTGGGATAGCCAACAAGATAAACCTAGGAATGCTGTCAATCTGTGAAGAATGTGCTCCTTACTGTTCCCAGGAGTAACTCATTTGTTTGTGGCAAGAGACCTTTTTCTTGTGGCTCTTTGTAGTGTAAAACCCCATTTTATCCTACAGATATGATACAGCCATCCTGAGGTTGCAGAGAATCCAAATGATATGCTTCCTGCATCAGAACCGGCTCTTCCTCCCCATCAGCTCTTCGTCTCTCCTTGACCTCATGGCAGGAAGCCTTTGTGTGAGGTTCTCATCTGGAACAACTTCTCCACACTTGTTTTCGTGTTCTGTTGGATTACAGGGCAGCGGGCCTACCTTTGAAGGTCCTTTCTCTTTTATTTCTTTGCTGTGCACTCCAGTAATTAACTTTGTCCTTCTTTTATTTGTTCCAGTCAATCGCAGGCCACTCTGCTGAGCATCTTCTCCCAGGAGTACCAGGTTAGAAGTTTTCTCCTTTGTGAGGGTTGACAGGTGCCTAATTGAATGATGAATGTCCCTTTATTTCTTTGTAATTGAACTGCCAGCTCTCTGATTGGGTTGGAGGATGTTCCCCTTTCCACATCAAGCAGCGCCTGCGTCTCAGTGGAGGCCTGCCAAGCCTACCCATCCATCTGTCTAATAACATCTAGCCTTTGCTTATTTGGTGGACCTGTAATAAATTATGCTAAAGCATTATTATTCTGACAATAATAATTTCCCCGTGTTGCGTGGCTCCGTGTGCTAAATGTTTGCTGACTTGCACTGTCAGTGCCGCTTCCCACTGCTGACAGAGATGATGATAAATGACCACTGCTGGAGTGGCAGAAGGCAAGAGAGGCAGAAAATGGAGTCATTTATCATGAGATGACAGGTGTCAGTCAAGTGGCAAGTCTCTATGGAATTACTTTTTGTAGTTTTTCAAATAAGTTGTTTTTAAGCAATGTTCTTCCTGGTTAAATATGGCAATTGGGTTGTAAAGCCCGAGTGCGGAGGACTTAGATGGAATTGAATTGAGGGAAAATTAATACAAAGGTTGGAAGAGGGAACAAGTTTTTCCTTGCCCTCTGCAGCCCGAAGCAAACTTATTTAGATTCAATTACTATGACCCTGGTGGCTTTTACATATAGACTGTACTTGTGGTACAGTCTGAAGACATCCCAGCCAAGCAGGAGATTAAAATGCATAGATGGAGTAGCAGGAAAAGAAATCCTGCCAACCACCCAAATCCCCAAGCCATTACCCATTTGCCCCATATGCTTGCCACTGGGATGAGGAAATATGTCTTTGCTGTTCTTGACTCTGATCTGTGACACAACATAAAGATGTTTTTTGTGTTTTGTTTCAGAAACATATTAAAAGAACACATGCCAAACATCATACTCCAGAAGCGATTGAAAGTTATTACCAGAGGTATGACCTGCCTGCCCCACTAGAGGGTATCACAGTACCTATTAATTGCTATAATTATTTTGAATAAATTAGATCATTAAACTGCCTTTCTCTACTGTATTAAGATTGTTACTTGAAACTTGTAATGTATTTTATAATGAGATTTTAAGTGCTTTATTTGGCATGTGTCAAGAATGTGGTGTGTACAATGGCATATATGGGATGAAGATACTGTTACTGAACCTGATTTGGCTACTTAACACTTTTTTAAGTAAGTGCACATCTTTTATGGGTACATTTGTTCATGTATACATGTGCCCTACATGTATTTGTGGCAAGTTTTCAAACCAATTTTTTCAAACCAATTATATACTAACATTTCATTATTGTTCAATTGTTGATGGACAATTGGGTTGGTTCATTTTCCTTGCTATAGTGAATAAGACAGCAATAAATACAGGGCTCAGATATCTCTGTGGTAGGGTTTAGAGTTTCTAGGTTTAGGCCCAGGAGTGAAAGAGCTGGAGCAAATGGTAGTTCCATTTTAAATTTTTTGAGAAATCTCCAAACTGACTTGCACAATGGCTATATTAGCTTGTACCCCATTAAGAGAGGAGTAAGATTTCTTTTTTCTCCACATTTCTCCAACATTTGTTGTCAGATTTGTTGGTGAGAACCATTCTGACTGAGTGAGGTGGTATCTGTTAGAAAGGTCACAGAATTGCATAGATTTTGGTGTCTGGGGTCTGTTTTTATTATTTTCAATTTTTTGGTTTTTCGAGACAGAGTTTCTCTGTGTAGCCCTGGCTGTCCTGGAACTCACTCTGTAGACCAGGCTGGCCTCAAACTCAGAAATCCGCCTGCCTTTGCCTCCCAAGTGCTGGGATTAAAGGCGTGTACCACCACTACCCGACTGCAAGTTATTTTTAAATAATAAAGTTTATAAAATTTTAAAAAGGAATTGTAGTTTATCGAAGCTATTGAAATTGGATTTTCTTCTAAAGAGTCACTCACTGTACCACATGGTGCAAGGTCTCTTTTGTTTTAAGTTAAAGACACTAAAGATGTGCAAGATGAATGGGTCACCTCCCCCACATACATTTTATCTAGAATTCCTTTCTAAAGAAGTCTTTGTAGATTTTGAGAAAAGTCATGACTAACTTCATAAAATTTACATTTATGTTCTACAGGACCTATAATAGTTCTACAAGATCTACAAATACTTTGGCATCTAGATAATTTTTAAAAAGTATTGATTTTTTTTCTTTTTATGCCAAATCATAATTGTTTGCTTTGAGACAGCATATCATTATACAGTTCAAGTTCGTCTCTAACTTGGCAGTTCACCTTCTTCAACTTACGCTTATAGACCTGTACCACCACATCTGTATAGAATGAAATATATATTTGTTTGTAAACTTAAAGACTTTTAATTAAATCATTTGAAAACCACTATACACACACACACACACACACACACACACACACACATATATATGGAGAGAGAGAGAGAGGCAGACACTTGGGATATATACATCCCAAGTCTAGTGGCACAAGCTTATGATTCCAGCTTTGGGGATGCTGAGGCATAAGGATGTCAGATTCACAGATAACCTCAATAACTTTGTGAGACCGTGTCTGGCAACATAAAAAAGAGTGTTTTGATTGCAGTCTGGTGCTACTAGGGTACCTGCTTAGCTTCAGCAAGGCCATGGGTTCTGTCCTTGGCACCAAGAAAGAAATGTGTACATAATTATTAATCTTTTTATTTTATTTATCTTTTTATTATCTGGATAGTTTTCCTTTCAAGATAAAATGAGTTTAAGTAAGTACAGTTACTGAGTAATGAACGACGGGTAATGAGTGGACTGGGTAGTAACTGAGGATGTAGAAATAGATTTGCTTCTTTGCACTTTTTAAATACGAGAGTCTCACTTGTGGTGAGGCATTAAAACATTTGAAATAAAACTAGAATGGAGGCTGTAACAGAGACTCAGGAAAGGCATCCCCCGAAGTGCCCTGATCCATTGGCAGTCAGTCCCTTCCTCCGTGCCGTGGGACCAACCATAACTTTACCTTTTAGGCAGACCCACCTCACCAGCCTGTCATTGGGAATGTACAGGCCAAATGTCCTGGCTTTTTCTAAGGTAAATTGGTTTTCAAAGGTTCTTGTTTGTTTTCTTGGTGGTTAGAATAAAGGCAACTTGTGTTTTATCCACACATATTTAAGCAATGGAAAAATGTTAATATCAACTTACTTAAATTTTTTTCTTTTATGAAGGTAATACCACCTGCTGTGAAAATTAAGCACCTTTGTGATGGCTTAGAAAGGAGTGAGTGACTGCCCATAACTGTGCCACTCAGAGATAACTACTGGTTAAAATTTCATCCCAGCCTTCTGACAACCCATTTTCACATAAATGAGGTCATATTACATGTGTAACTATGAGTCCTGGATTTTATTATGAAAAAAATGTATATGATATAATATTATTTTGTAAAAAGCCTTTCCTTTTATTAGTTGCCTTACTTCACCATGTAAAGGACTGAATTTCCCAGATTATTCTTCTGAGGACCAAATGTCCCCAGTGTTCTGATATTATAGATAATACTGTGTATGGTAAGCAACTTGGTGCCTGACTCATTGTACTGGGTGATTTCTGTGTTTGTAATTACTGGTGAAAACGATATGAACCTTTAGAAATTGATTATGTGTTGTTGAATTACTGTCTAGAAGTGTCTTAGTTATGTTCCCGCCCGCAGTGTGAGAACCCAGAATCCACATTCTAGCTAGCGTTGAGATTATGTCAGGTGGGAACTCATAAATCAGGAGAGCAGTAGAAAGTGTGTTCCTGAGTTTTTGCATTGGTGGGAAAGTCTTCTCAGTTGGATATTTAAGATTTTCATTTGAAAACAGGTCTCTATTCCTTTGGACTGTCCTATTTTATTTCCATACACAAAGATCCTTGGTGAAATTTATCTTGATTCTTACCCATTGGGTTTTGAACACATGTAGTTGGACTGCTAGTTACTTTTCTCATTGGGTCAAGTTCCTCACATGTGTATTCTAAGGAAAGAAAGATTTGTTTTGACTTGTGGTTTGTGAATGTATTCTGCTTAGCAGAGGTCATGGCAGCAGAGGAGTGTGGCTGAGACCCCTCCCTTAGGGGCAGAGGAGGAAGCAGAGAACAGAGAATGCTGGTACTCAGCCAACTTCCAGCTTCCTCCTTTTATTGCCCCCCTTCCCTCCTCTGTTCCCTGTTGGAACCACTCTCACTACCATCTCACACTCCACTTGGGGTGATTCTAAAGCCAGTCAGGCTGACAATGAATATTGACAGCCACAGATGGTCAGATCTGTAAGTTCCCATCAGTAGCAGGTTTGGAAGTCCTATCTTCCATCTCTTCTAGCCATACTGGCTCAGGACACAGCTCTTGTAGCTGTACAGAAACGGATCAATTGAATTTTCTAAGATGTTGACATGGAGAAAAGAATTCTTGAGACCTGATATTGACAGTACATGATAAAGCTGGTTTCTGAACATTGATTCCACTGTGATGCTAATCCTGAGAGTCAGCTTGATTGGATTGACAAATGCCTGGGAAGAGAGTAAAACATACTTTTCAGTTTAAATAAAACAAGGCCATTTCTGGATAGGAATAACGAAAGAAGGAAGACCTGCCTTGCATGTGGGTAACACCATTCAGTAGGATATTTGGGGTGTGTCTGTGGAGCCTACATCTTACTTTGGCCCCTTCTTGTCTGTTTCCAGGCTGAGATTAGGTGAGTAGCTTCTTTCCTGTCCCATGCCCCTCTGCCAAGATTTGTTTCTTACCTCAGACCTTAGGGCAATGGAGCTGGAAAGCCCTGCCCTGAAACCATGAGCCAAAATAAATCTTTCCTTCCTCAGGTTGGTTTTCTCGTCACGGCAACAAAAAGCTGAAATGTCCTGAAGCACCATTTCCTGAACATACTGTCCTGATGGTAATGTCCATGGACATGTGAAAAAGATACAATTCCTGCCTTCCACTAGTGTAGGGAGTGGAAGATACCATGTCCTTACATATGTGAATTTCAGTAAGGGAAGGGTCAGCATAATTGTATTTGTAGAGCACAGCACAGCTCTGTCAATTCTCCACATGAGGTGCCCAGAGTAAGGTAAATAGACCCATTTAGAAACAAGACTGGCCTTTATTTACTTGTTGAGAGGAGGAGAACATTCCAAAAGGAGAGAAAACAGTTTCAGAGCTATGGCTCTTTGTGTGTTTTATCGTGGCGATGGAGCTTTTTGCATGCTGGAAGGGATCTGCTATAGAACTGTATCCCCAACTCAACTGTTTTGTTTTTTAAAAGTCCATAATGTCATGATCATAGATCTTCCAGTCAGACACTCGTAAATAGCTCTTCTCTAAGGGTCTTTTCTGCATGTGGGATATATGTACATGGTTGTGTGTGTATACCTGTGTACGTGTGTGTGTGTGTGTGTGTGTGTGTGTGTGTGTGTGTGTGTGTGTGTGTGT